GTAGGCATAGCAATGGAGTGAGGCGGGGCGGGGGCGAATTTAAGCAAACTCGTCTCTGCCCCTGCCTCCTAGACCCGCCCCTGCCTCCAGACTCGGTCGGGACTAATAATTGGTCCCTCGCCCTTATTGAGGAACAAGTTTCCCCGCACGCGCCCCGCCCCCACCTGCACAAATTGTATTTTTCTTAATGTATTTTTTTCAATAACAATAAAAATAAACAATTTAACTAAATAATTGATGTTTTAATAATAATCACAATTCTTGATCATTCTATTTAATTTTTATTTCCAAAAAAGTAAATGATAATTCTAATAAACATGATATTGTAAGATTAAAAAGTGTAAATGAGTCATAAAACTATTAAAAAAAATAAAGAAAATAAATTAAATTTAATAGGCGGGGGTAGTTGCGGGGCGAGTACTACCATCACTCGCCCTTGTAAATAAAAATTGGGTTTTTCCTGTTAATTTTGAGGTGGGGTCGGGACAGAGCAGGGCGAATTTATTTGTCATGCCTAAGCAAGAGGAGAACTAGAGTAGAAGGAGAAGAAAACCAAAAACATAACCAACCGTTGCTACTAGGAGAATAAGTTAAGAGGGAGAATAACCTTCAATAAAGATTTATGCATGCGGGGTATGGTAGATGAGTCCTTAACCTCCAATAGGGATGATGATTGTGATAATTTCTATGTGTTGCTATGATGAATCCATGATGAATTGAGTGAATTGCATGTTAGTCGTAGATAAATGATGTATTATTGAGTAAGATGTTAAGAGATTATTAAAATCCATATGTTTTCATCTACAATGATGTAAGGTATATTTTGGGACTGTTAGAGGTCAAAACTTGGAGTTGTGTCGATTGAACGGCTGAAAGACAAGAGAAATCGCACAAAATTGCGAGAAAATTAAGGTTTTTTGGACTCTGCTATGGGTCATAGCACGTCCGTAGCAGCCCTCTAGTTTTTGTTCCAGAGGCGAGCCAAAAAAGGGGTTTTGGTTGGGAAGCGCTACGGGCGTAGTACGTGTTACAGGCAGCCATAGCAGCTCCCTGGATTATGTATCAAGTGAGACGTTTTCAAGCATAATTTGAGCTCCGTAATTCGGATTGAAACACGGTTCAAAGCGTTGAACTTGAAACTTGTTTTATCTCCCGATGATTTTTGCTAGAACTTTTGATCTGTAAGTTCAAATGGTGAGTCCTAACATTCAGAGATACATCACAATAGTGCTTGGTTAAATACATGAATAATAATCATGTTCATATTGTAGTGATGTTGTATTGATTTGTATGATCGATTAATGAATCGTTGTGTTAATTTGATGATGTATTTATGTTATAACGAATTAACGTGATTGAATGCTTGTGAATATGCATTTGTTGAGTTGCTGACATTGATGATTTTTTTATGATGTTGCATGTTCAAATATATGCATGACATCTTGATGAAGATGTTTTTATAATGATGTTGTCATGTGAATTGAAAGTGTGACAATGTCATCATGTTTAAGGTGATATTTATGACTATTGTATTGTTGAACGTATGAATAATAATCTAATTGAAGAGATGATTGAATACGTGAGTTGCATTGAATTATATGATGATATGCATTTTGTGATTTTGGTGTGATGTAATCTAGAGAAGGGATTACTCGAGTTGTTAATGCATTATGTTAGGATCATATAGGGGTCTTAACACATTGATTTGATAATATGATCATGCATCATAAGAGTCGTGTCAAGATGCATGTCAACTAGTTCAGATAGGGGATTAATGGCTTGTCTCAAGCTCAAAGAGGAGGCTCGAGGTTTGTAGAGGTTGGAACTTAGGTCATATGAAGAACCAAATAAGGTTCGCAGATATTGGAACCTGGTTCGTATGAAGAATCAAATGCTGAGTTGGTATCACATGCATATACATAGAGTTATATTAATCGAGTTGCATTGCATAATGAGTTATATGCATAATTGTTGAGTTGCGATTGGTTGATGAGTTTGGGTGTGAGAATGTATTGTGATATCTTGTGACATTGTGTACAACATGTTGCGTTTGATATCCTACCTTGTAGTATATGCTTGTTATTGTGGTTTGTGTTCCTCTTTGAAGTACATATAAACAAATAGCAAAGTAGCTACTTAGAGTGGGAGGATGCCAAGAGGCTGTTTCTTCCTTTTTCTTTTTGCGTTTTTAATTTACGTGCTCTGATATGTAACAATGGGAAACAGTTGTGTCTTTTCTCTAATCTTTTGTTAGAAAGTTTATGTATACTCTCGTGTTTTATATTTCCATGTTTTGAGAAAATTTCATTTATGAGTTTGATTATACTATAAATTGCATTAGAAGCTTAAATGATTTAGTTAATGCGTGCTCTATTATGAGAAATTCCGCTGCGATGATACCTTAAGTGAAAGTATTGATTGTTGTCTTATTTGATAAAGTGTTGCAGGGTATGTATATTTTGAAAAGAGAATGTTTGGCATCCTATTTGTTTGTGTGAATACTCTAATTTTTTGTATATTTATGCGCGAAGAAAATAGAGTGTTACATTTATCGACGTATTGTGGATATGGAGAGCTCGGGCACAGAGACAGTTTTTTGAGGAAAGTGATCTCCAATTGGCTCTCTTAAACCATTATTGTCAAGGCACATTATGCCTTACAATATAACGAGAATAGTCAGGGAATAGACATACCTAGTATTTTTATGTTTGTATTATTTTTTATATTTTTGAAACAAATTATATATAATCATACATTTTAAAGCATCCTATATATATATATATATATATATATATATATATATATATATATATATATATATATATATATATATATATATATATATATATATATATATATACACATGGGCGGTTTTAAGGCCCGGCCAGGCTGGGTATGTGCCCGGGCTCGGCCCCAAAATTTTGCCTTCTTTTATAAAAGAATATGAAAATTGTGGCGGTTTATAAGTGTTGTTATGGCGGTTAAAACCGCCACAATTAACGATAATGCGGAAAAATAATACTTTTGAATAAAATTTTTCATGTCATAATATATATTAAATAAAAAGGCGGTTTTTTGTCGTTGATAATGGCAGTTTTAACCGCCGTAATTTAAATATTTTTCACAAATAAAACATAATTTTTGTTTTCCTTTTTTATGCAATTAAACATACATTATATTAATTTTTTATATGATAATATTTAGATTCAACTACATTACAAAAAGTGCAAAATTAAAATAAAGTTGCTATTTATGACCAAATTAACCAAAAACAAAAAATGAATACTTGAAAAAATAAAATTTAACATAAAAGTAGTAGCTACTAAAATTATTTAAAAAAAATATGTATAGTGTTGTAAAAAAGAAGAAGAAAAGAATAAATTTTATCCTCAAATAATATAAAAAATATATTAGGTCCAATTCTTCAATTTATGTTCACTCTTAAATTATATGGTTCAATTGATGTTAACTAAGAATTTGTATTTTAAATTTAGTTTGTAGTTACAGTAGTTAGTAAATAAAATTATGTTGTTCACTGGTTGCTAATTTCAAGAATTATTATGAATCACATGAAATAATATTCCATGTTAGTATCAACTTCAAATTGGATATATTTGTGTTAGTTTTAAAATTCTGCTGTAATCAATTAAATTAAAAATCTTTTATTTTGATTAATAACTATTTATATATAACTTCTTTAATGTATGTATTATGTTTGAAACAATTAATATGTGTTCTAATCTGTGGCTTAAAATGACCCAAAATGTAAGTTGGCCAAAAAAAAAGGTCAAAGTTAAGACAAATCTGTTGCCTAGACAATATTCAATGAATTTTAAAAAAATGCATATCCAAATCTATCCAAAAGCAAATATCAATCGTTTCACTTCTAAAAATAAAAAATCAAGTGTTATTAAATATGTTTTATGAAAAAGTGTAAAAACAATTTCAATTGTTTTTTATAAAAAAAAATTGAAAAAATAAATTAATTTAATTTTACATTACGTATTAAAAAAAATTAAAAAATAAATAAATAGACATTATTTTACGTATTAATATGTAGCAGGAAAAATGTGTGTTTTGCGTTACGGAGGAAGTAAAGCGTTTAGAAAAGCATAAACGTGGCACCATAACTGCTTACGAAGTGTCTGAGAGTGTCAATAGCCTTGCTCATTATAATAAATATTAGATTGTAGTTTGCTCAAGGAAGTGCCCGTTTTAAGATAAAAACAAACATTATCAGTAGAGCTTAAAATAGATTTAAAAGTATTGCACTATGACTATAAAAAAGATATTACACTAACATCCAATAAAATTATTTTAAAGTGTCAAATCGTAACAGTAAAAATTAAAGAATAATGTAAAGTATCAAATCATAACAGTATTTTAAAAATTAAAGAGTAATGTAACAATATACACGTTGATAAAGAATTAAGTAAGGCATGACTGTCAGAAGTCTATGTTCCATTCGTTTTAATTTAGGTTCAGCTACAGAAGCCGCGTCATTTAAATTTCATCCACGTTGATAAATAGACGACTTGGTATTGACATCAATGTTAGAAGAAAAATATATAATTCAAGTAAAACCAAGAAAACAAAACTACACAAGATCGGTTGAAAAAAAAAATCATAAAAACACCCATTAAAAGATAGTCAAAGCATTGTCCATCTACAGAAACCCATCCCCATTAACAATAACCCTAAAATGAAAAAAGAAAGGTCAATAGAGTTGCATATAAATAGAAAAGGAAAATTTAGAGACACATTGAAATTGATACATTGCATGCTGAAACGGTACACATGCCCATAATAGCATCTCCTGTTCCTCAGCTTCTCTCTTGGAAAGGTTCAATTATAATTCAAGTAAAAAAACACGTCCAGTGAAGTCTAACTTTGAAAATAAGGATCAGTTTGATTCACAGCTCTCATTTCAACTGGTATATGAAGTTGCATATTACTGCAGGGCACAAGTTGCTGCCAACAGCAACTCGACCATAATTGTATCATAGGAAGTAGTCAGGGGTTCTCCTAGTTACATCTGGCTCTCCCCTCCTTGGAGCTGGCTCAAACTGGAATTAAAAATTAAGGCAACTTTATGTAACAGACACTAATCACAAAACTACAAGTATTTTGTCATGGAAATAAAAGAATAAGCTCAACCTGAATGAATGTGTGTCCTTTGCAGTCATCAACTTCAAGGATCGATGCCATGTTCCCACAGCGATAACAGTAATTAGGTGCACTGAATATGGTAACCACCTTTTGATCCTGCAATGAGGCACTATGAATCAGCCATTTACCACCACACAAAAAAAACATAAGAAAATTACGAGATCAGATATTTACATGACCCCAGTTATATCCTTCCATAACCAGCTGGTGAGCTCTAGCAATCAGCTTCAAATTATTGGTATGGTTAAACTGCTCAGATATGTCCTATAAAAGCAATACCCATGAGCAATCAGCAAAAAATAATAACGACACGCAAAATCAACACAAGATTTATACACTGCAGATTTGTTACCTGGCCAAAAGTGTATCCAGCACCTCTAGGAGAGATACCCCAACCACAGCGATCATCCGGATCAGACCATAAAAGATCACACATGGGTCCCTCATGGGGAACTTCTTGCACGCGATCAAAATTACGAATGTTGTCAAGGGTTTCAATAGACGGGGACAACCCACCATGAAGACAAAATATTTCAGATTCAACCTTCAAAAGAGAATGTCACTTCAGAAACATTTGTTTACTGAAAACCCAGAAAACTTGGTGCAACATGTGAGCTACAATTACATGGGTGGCATGTCATGAAATTCAAAGAGCAATATAAATAAGTATCGGGAGCACTCGTTTTCAAAAGGAAACAAGAGACACCGGTAATCTGAAACAACTAAAAAGCAGCCTTAATTATGACTACTAAGACCTAAAAAACATGGAGCTGGAAATGATGACAATCTAACCAACATACTAATAACTCCCGTCAGAGGCAAAAACAAAATATCTTCAAGAGTTTTTTCAAAAATTATGTAATAGCATACTAACCAATGCTGTCAACGGGAAGTAGTCAAACAAATCAGTGAACATCTTCCAAACATTAGCACTACCATACCTGTGAATCAAATATGAAGAATATTCATTGACATGTGGTTGCACAATTTTAAATATGAAATTGGAAAAGATATTAGAAATGAAAGGAAAAAAAAAACAAATATCAAACAGATGAAAATGAACCACACTATAGTAAATGAGTTAAAGTCAAGCATAAAACCTAATTAATGATATAATAAGAATTCTAAATCAAGTCTATTAGAAAAAGGTAATTTAATATATTGTATAGTATATACAACTTTAACCTGGATATTTGTGTGATAGTGTGATTAAAAGTAACCGTAGCAAGAGATAGAACCCAACGTTAGAAATCTCTAACTTTGATAAAAAATGAGATCTTCCATTAAAAAACAATAGCTAACTCACACAACCTATCATGAATCATATTTGATGATATACCATTTAAATCCAAATCACTGCTAATGATTTAGGGCCTGTTTGTTTTAACTTTAAAAAAATAGATTTTTTCTTTGTATTTTCAAAAATGAATTTTGTATAACCGTTTCTCAAAATATTACAAGTTTTTCTATATTCGTTTTTTCTAAATTGTAAGACTAATTTTGACATCATACAACATAAACGTACATTATTGAAAATCAAAACATAGTCGAAATCACAATTTTAAAAAAAAGTTGTATCTCAAAAATGGTTTTTATGAAAAGCTATTTGAAATAGCTTCAAAATTAAGTGATTTTTTAAAATTTTGATATCCAAAAAATTTTTCGATAAAATGTTGATATATCTAAAATCACATTTTAAAAATAACTATTCAAACCAAAACTTCATTTGAAGCTTCTATAAAAAGTTTCTTTGTAAAATTTTTTTCCACAAAATTATGTTACACTAAAAAAATCATTTAAAAAAAGCCAAAACATACGGGCCCTTAACCTATAGTTTTCTTCGGTTTCCATCTTTTCTCTAACTATTAGACTATCCCCCAATTTAGTACATCCTCTTCATCAATGCTTATACAATCTTCTTCTTACATCATTAACAAAATTTCAAGTAACTCAGAAACATGCGACAATAGGAAAATATTACACATTAACGATAGTGCTGAAATGCTAATAAGGAATAAAGAACTCACAAGTTAAAAATTTCACAAAATTGTGTCGAATAGAATACAGTGATAATTAATATCAAAGTTATCTTAAACAAAGGCATTTTGAAAAGGTGAATTTAGCAGGTACTTACTTCCGTAGGCACTCGTCATAAAATCCATAAACTTGAGTAATCTGCATAAAAGCTAATATGATCCATAACTGTTCAAAGCTAAAACATACAGAAACAACTAAACAAACTACTGAACTAGGAGGTCATGTTTTACTAGTACTATAACTAACTTCAGCCACTTAAAGTAATAAGTTCCAACTCCATAACTGTTTTATCAAATTCAACGGTATATTACTTTAAGGACGACATAATTTAGTCCTCAGAAAGAGTAGGTATCAAATGTGCCTGATAATGTATATTATTTATCTGATATGAGTGAAAGCATTCAATTGAGGGAAACTTTCCGGTAAAATTTGATAGATGCTAAAAGTCTCAGTCGATACTTATAATGTAACTAATGACCTAGTTAGGATTTTAATTACATTTTTAATTCACTAATGTCAAAAAGACCGCATGATAAAAACTAGAACAAACCTGACGACTTTCATGATTTCCCCTCAAAATAGTGATACGCTGACGATAACGCACTTTAAGGGAGACCAAAAGCTGCATAATGACTTAATTAGTGTCAAATTAAAGTTACTTACAAAAGAAGCATTCATTTGGAATCAAAATAAACACCATGCAAAATATGCAATTAAAAAAATAACAGCTATTAACTTGTGCCACAAATCAGATTTCTGACACTAGGGGAAACTACGGTATCCCATGTGATCTAGGGACATAATGCAGCATTCACAGTATCCCATGTGATCTAGGGACATAATGCAGCATTCACAAATGCAAAAAAAAAAAAAAATTTAAAAATAAAAAATAAAAAAAATAAATCATTTGCTCTCTTCTTTTGGATAGCATGGTGTATGACACAACTGCTTTGATTATGTTGTGACACCAACAACAAAAAACAATAATCCTTGCAAACATGGCATGTTGAATGAAGAAATATCCACCATCTTAACTGCAGGAATATATCACGAGGAAACAAATAGTAGGCTGAAGGACCAGAAAACCGATCTTTCAAGACAGCAAGGAACTACTAATGAAGTAAGATGGTTTCTAACTCCTTTAAGATATCAAACATACTACTGACACGATATACAATTCACATGAGATTTCGCTAGAACACCCTGGTTAAACACTTTCACAAAGACTTGAGAAAATATAATGACAGACAAAGTGCTTCTGTTTCAAATACAAACAAACAAGAGAGTAAACATAATAGTTCATACTCACCGTTACGGTTTCGACAGAATAATAGCCACGATCAACATAATCTCCCATAAACAAGTAATTTGTATCTGGACACTACCAACAAAAAGATGTACCAGAAATTAGAATTTGACCATCAGATGTCATATTTCAAGTACAAGCAAAAAAACATGTAATATACAAGTAATGCTATGCTAAAAAATAGTGAGCCAAAAAAGCCAGGTTCTAAAATAAATACATAGGACAAAATTTCTAAAATCCATAATGAGACAGAGACAGAGCATGAAAGGCCTCTGATTGGCTACACTGGAGGACATATTTAAATTAAAAACGAGATTTGGCAAGCTGCTGCATCAAAAAGTTTGAACCAGAGCTGATTGCACTTGATGAATCGGACAGCACTCAGCAGCAGAAACTAAAATACTTAATTGACATCAATTGTGATACAAATAGACAAGGAAAAGAAAACTTAGCCAAACAAATAATTTTCAACATAGGTGCCACATGATTGCAGGATATTAGTATCAATCAAATGAATGGTTTACACTACAAGGATAATTGGGGGGAAGTTATATCTATTATTCTATTACTGCTATTAAATTCCCAAACTTGAACATCACCTAGCGGAATTTTAAGGACTAAACAGTGGTGAAATTTTGATAAAGGAAGGTCTTTCTACATCGAAGATGCATGGCATTTCCTGATTTCCAAGTATTTTTTTACTTTAGTACATCTAATTTCATAAATTTGGCAAATGATAAATGTTAAATATAAAGCTAACTATGAGGAAAAATACCTTCCCTCCAATGCGAAAAAGCTCTGCAAGATCATGGAATTGCCCATGAATATCACCACAGATTGTAACAGGACTTTTTACAGGCTGCAATTGTTGGCAAAAAAAATAACTTAATTTTCTCAGTCAAATTTGTCTTATATGAAATGGAATACACATAGCCCAAACAATTACTGAGAACTCTTCAACTGACAATAGAGTGATAAACAAAATTGAGGGGGGAAGGGTGCATAAAGTCAAAATGTATGCAAGATATGAAACCAATGCACAAAACCCCCCATGCAGATGGACACAAATATATAAAACACGCTGACATAAAAAATAGACTAACAAACCTGGACATTGCTCTCTTCCATCAAAATCTCCTTCGCCTTATCGCACAAAACCCTAACCTGTATATACAAGTGCAAATGTGACATCAGAGTTGGATAACGAAATGAAAAGGAACCACATTATCTCTGTGGCATGACTTCTTTAGTGGATAGGTAAAGAATCAAACAAATACAAGGAACATCCTAGAATACAAAACTGCTTTTGGGGGGAAAATAGATTGCAGTCTCAAAGAAAATAAAAAAGTAGAGTAAAATAGAAAATCTAATAGCAATTTTTACGAATTTTGACTACCTCGATTAAGAAACAGATACCTTTAGTTATGCTTGTATTTTGCTTCTGTGATGTCAGTCTTATATTTGATTTTTAGTTTCTATTTATGAAACCAAGCCAAACTCATTCTTTTCTAATTTTTAATTCAATAAATCATGGTGCAATCCCGTTGATTCAGAGTACGGTCATAGGCATATATATGTGGACTGTTTGTGGTGCAGCAATACATATGTCACTCTCTGTGGGTGCGTACAGGGCTGGAGAGACGGTGAATACCCACCCTATTTAGCACTAAGTTTAAGTCTAACACACTGACACAGCTACAACACAAACATATTTTCAACATTTAATAAATGAGTCTAAGAAATTTCATATGCATAATAACCAAATTAGTATTACAGATTCAACAAATTAATAATTTAATTTAGTATTTAAGCAATATTAATGCATAAATCTTGCACCGGTCTCAATAATTTCTAACTCTCTCAAACACACGAATACACAGCTATGTGAAAGAGGAAGCTGCAAACAACCAAATTGAGTATATAGAAGCTACAAAGCAAAGTTCTGGAAAGAGAGGCCGGGTTTGGCCATAGTGCATTAAGGCTGCCAGGAGGGACTTGGAAAATGGGTTGAAAACAATGTTGTCAATGGTGGATGACAGTTTATAGCTGATGGCCAAAAATCCCAATAAAAAGGTGGTATTCCGCCACACCATTATACAATAGGAGCTATTTGATAATTTGACAACACAGTCGTAAGAACACGGAGGGGCGAACAGGTGGTGGGAATAGAGGCAGCTTGGTTTTCTAATGGAAAAAGGGGTTTCCTGGTTTCCAACACTAAAATACTTCCAATTAAAAGGTGTCTAATACTACAAATCCTCATATTAGAAAGAATAGACAAATCAAAAAGGGGTGAACAAAACAAGGAATGTCCCTGTTCAGAATCGCTGCTGCAAAATAGGACTATCCCTGTCCCTATGCGAACTATGCAATGCAGACAGGGATTTTTAAATGGGAAAAAGCAGCTTAGCCCTACATTGGCACTATAACAATGAGGTTCAGCGCTAATGCGCTATTAAGGATTAACTACTATGCAAAAAGAACAGATCCAAACTCAAGACACCTAGGCAGTGGACCCACTCACTTAATACGATGCACAAAAACAAAATAACCGAAAAGGAAATATTTTGTTTGACTTACAGGCGTTTCAAGCAGTACATGACCATATCATTTACTAAAAGTGCACTAATAAACCAGCTTTTTAGGAAATTCTCCTTGGCCTAGCTGGAAGCCTCTCTCCTCAATTGAAGGGGACAAAGTAATTTTCCCATTAAACACCCACTAATTTGAAATCATCACAGACTACCCGAGCAGCTAAAACATGCAATAGACATAATGTTTTGGCTGTACGGAAACCCTAACTCGAAGATAACAGTTTCACAAAGCTCCAAACTTCATTGAGAAACTGAATACCAACACATATCAATCTCTTCCAATCTTTTGCAATGAATATATAACCAACAAAAAGTGCATTAACCACTTGTTAGGAGATTGAAACAGAACACGCTCGTCTCATCCAGCAGAGTTAAGAGGAAGCACTTAATCCCTAGCAGTGAGTCCCCATCTCAATGAAGCAGGCCAAAAACTCAACTAACAGCCCAATCAGCCATATTCTACTATAGGTCATATAACTAAGTCTGAAAAATCCTTAGCAACACATGACACAGAAATATACAGAAGGATTTTTCCACCTTTTCAAGTATCCTCGGTCGTTGAAGACAAGTCTACCATTTCCACTCCTTAAATACACAAATTATAAGATTATTAACCATGAGAAAATGGCTTTATGTAAGAAGGTAACAATGTGTGTCTCTTCCAGCGGAGTTAACAGGAAGCACTAATTCCCTAGCAGCTAGTCCCCTTCTCAATAAAACAGGCCAAAACCTCAACTAACAACCCAATCAGGCTGATTCTACTATTAGCCATCTAACTCAGTCGGAAAAATCCTTAGCAACACATGACACAGAAATATACAAAAGGATTTTTTCCTCCTTTAAAAGCATCCCTCAGCCAGTGAAGACAATCTACCATTTCAATTCTTTAAATACATAAATTATATCCCTATCAACCATGAGAAAATGGCTTTATGTAAGAAAGAAACAATATTCCACCAACCAAAACCGCAAGATACAGTGAACATAAACAAATAAACGAATCCAAAACCTATAATCACTGAAACGAATTCCGTAAATCTGACAGAATATGCAACAAAACGTGCATTCTTGCCGCCATTGAATTACGAAAAACAAGGCAGATTTGCAAGAAAGAACCAGGAGAATCAATATTCGCTACAAGATGTGAAACAGATCAAATTGCAAGAAGCGAATCGAGATACAGTCAAACAACCGATGAAAAACCAGCAAGAGATATTCCGGATCCGCGAGAAAAAAAATGCGCAGAGAAACGAAAGAGTTAGGGAAATTAGATTTACCTCTTGTTCAGACAAGGGTTTGCACTGCATGAGCTGAGAAATCTGTTCATCGAGATTTCCATGGGAATTCGAAGGCACCGAATCCATTTTGAAATCCTCCACCTCCTAACCCTTTGTTGCTGGGTCGATATCCAGTTTTAGAATCGATGGAAACCCTAGATCTAACTCGGAAAAGCCCTTTTTGCGTTTTCGATTATTATTTCTGGTTTGTTGTTTATGGCTTTTAGAGAGAGAAAGAGATGAAAAGGTGGTGGTGATGAAGAAACCAAAGCGTTGGAGGGTTCGATGGGCTCGTTTTGTTCGATAACCACTCCTTTTTGGGGGGCAAAATTTATATTAATAATAATTGCAATGCTAGCTTAACAGAATCCCGGATTCATACTTCTAGATTTTTTTTTTACAATAAGTTTTGGAATTGGATTTCAAAAATATCATATCTCCTTTTTCTTTTTGATGGCCTTTAGATATCTCATTGATTATTGAATAATAATTTTGATATAGTAGGGTTTTGATTTTCTTTTTAAATGAAAAAAAAAAAGTTAGTGTCGGAATTTAACTCTTAGAAAGTTGTGGAATTCGATATTTTAAATTAATGTTAGAAATAATATTGAATCATTATGAATATTGTAGTTTAGATTCACAAAGAATTTATAATTTCGATATATTTTTTTACATTTATTGGGATGTACGAGAGGTTTTAAATGGATTGAGCGAGTTAGACCACACGATTGACATGTGGGCGACGTCACCACATTATAAATTTTCCTCAAAAATAAGTTATTATTAAATCCTTGATGAAATGGAGTCAGATTAGTCAAAGTCGAGGAAATTACCTTAAGACTTGACATGTCCAATTAGGTTATAGAGGGTTATATATTTATTTTAAGGAAATACTAAGGTATCACTTTTTCATAAATCATAGTCTCAAATATCTTTTGTTTGGTATATCACATGCAGGGTCGTTATTATTGTACCCGCAACAAGTATAATTGACGTGTATCGTTGAGTTTGATAAAACATTGTTCATTGAACCCTCGAGTATAATTGTTCTTTTGTTTCAATTCAGCTTTATCGCGACAATTTCTGTATAAACTCTAAAACAAAATGTCTAACTTCAAAATAAATGAAAAATTATGTACTTATGATAAAATTTATGAAACTCTCGAGTTTGAAAGATCATTAAACTCTCTTTCTAAGACAACTGACGACATCGTAAAAGGACTTATAAAAACCAGCAAACTGTTACTGTTGTAGTACCCCTAGATCTAATTTCTCTATTTCAAAAGAAAGATTATCTTGTTAGCTTTCCAATGCTTTGAACCACGGTTTACTGTGAAATTTGGTAAACAAAAAACAAGTTTCTATTAATATTTAAAAGATCAAACTCAAAAATATTTCGGAACATATTTGTGTGCATTTAAGGCTTTGAAAACCATTGTATTGTCAAAATCGAAATGTACTTCTTAAAATTATTTGATGCAACTTATGAATGAAACTTGAAATAAATAAAAAAAGGTTTTAAGGGTGAAAAGGCTTGAAATTGAAACATAGATAAAACAAAGTAACAAGAATTGTAAAGGCAGTCGAAAGGTAACTTAATGCATAAAAAGTAATTCAATGTAAAAATGCTTGAAGTGTATAAATGGTGGAATGCATGCGTACATTTTTTCCTCACTCGTTTCTCAACATGCAGATACTTTGAGTTTACAGAATGTGTGTACAATTGTGGACCCTTTACATTATGGACATGAGTCCCCTTATATATTACTCTAAAATAACTACCTAAGAACGGTCGACTAACCCTATCGTGACACGTCTCAATCCCATGTAGCGGTTTCCTTCGACGAGCTTCCATGTGCTTTTGAGTAACCGTTTGTGTTAAACCAGTTCCCTATCTTTTAACATCATTCAAATATCTTAACTATTTTTACTAGTCATCAGTAACTAACTAACCACGTCGAGGTCCTTGAAATCGACCATGCTACAACAACATACTTTGTAGTACTTTCCACATGTAATGTCATAGTCGACATTGTTTTCATTATAATGATGAATTTCAGTCTTAGCCAACATAGCATAGTAATCAATTTCACTAAGTCCCCAAACTTCTCGCAATGTCCTTTGACTCTACCATCTTCGACCAGTATCATTATGCGTGACTTTTGACCTTGAGTTAACTTGATTTTCATGTGATTCCATTTTGTCTTGACTTTCAACATGGCATATTTATTAATACTTTCCACTTATAGTAGTAGAAAATCCAAGGTAACATATTTTCCCCCAAAAGTCCATGTTTCAATTAAAATTAAACAAGAGAGACATGGCCTTTTTTATCGTATTTTTCGACGTTGTTTCACTTTCGCTGACGTCATCGTCACCATTACCCTTTTTACGGCGCATTGTCATTTTCCATGAGATTCGCTCAGAATCTCATCATAACTCATACTTCTTAAGAGGTTGTGGGTTTGCACGTCTACCATAATTGCTTCCACTCACATTAATGTTATGCATCAAAAATCCACGAAAACGCTTCAATCGCCTTCATGTAACACCCTAATTTACCTTGTTGAATTTATAAGTAAAATCAGAGTAGTTTTAAACCAACAACAATTAGGATGCTACTTTTCAACATAAAAATTTTCATGCTATAGGACACGTAACACATATGAAAGTTAAAAAATAATAATAATTATTAAAACAAGTATGAACTTCAACTTTTAATGCAGCGGAAAAATATCATCAATTGATTAGTTTAATTATCCAAACCATTCATAATATAAAGTAATCATGAGAAATATCAAACTTCAGAGATATACATAGTAATCTCCACAAAACATAAATTATACTCAAAAGCGGTCAACCCCAGATGTTACATATCAGAGCAAACGTCGACCCAACAAAAGCATAATGAATAGTGAACTCTTACACTCACATTCAAGCCTTTGTTGCGGATTATCTGCATGATGCCCATGTAAAGGCAACATTCAAACAGAAGGGGTGAGAAATCTCAATCATATAAAGAAATGCATGATAATATGTACGCACACCAACAACATATGCATAATCACCCATTCTATAACATACGCTCCAATAATCCATACAACACAATCTAGCAGGTATGCAAATGCAAAGAGACTCAACTCGAGACTTAATGCATGTGGTACGAAATTGTGAACTCTCGGGTCTACTCGCTTCAATCCCCACCTAGGATCAGAGCACGCCAAAATCATCACCATCACCATAGGTAACGTTTCACTAATTTCATCACCATATGAATTAGCTAATCGCATCCAATCCCCACCATAGGATTGAGGCTCACTAAAAATGGAGCATCGTCCAAACACCACGATATATGATAAATACAAGATATACAACAACAACAACCATGCAACATACAATGACATTCACCTTAGTCATTATACCACACTAAAACTGGCCATCAACATCAAACATATACTACAAGCATTCAACAATAGCATTATAGTAATATAGTAAGTAATAACACCCATTCGCATGCAATGCCTCATCGCAACATACGCCATGCATACCATCCAAAACCATTGCACACCATTTGAAATTATTTCCAAGTACTGAATTTACTTTTAAAATAAATTTTGTTGTGTCAGCTTCCCAACGCTTCTAACGGTAACTCAAACGAACGCTCAAAACTCGAGTTATGAATTTTTTAAATTTACACAACAGGTGTAACATGTTACCCAAAAACAGGTAACGGATTGCCACTTTGCTAAAAACAGTGGCTATCCTTCTTCAGTGTAACCGGTTACACAAAATCCAATAACTGGTTACACCCTTCACAATTGCCCAGTCTACGCAAGTTTTAGGCAGTATAACCAGTTACACCAATAACTGTAACCGGTTACACCTTTTTAAAAATCACTTCTTTGAAATGTTGTCCCAGGTGTAACCGAATATCACTACAAAAACAAAAACATTTTTCTACAGTTTTTTTTATACGGAAACCAGTTTTAAACCTTTCCCAACACCCCAATTTTTTTATACCCATTCATAACTCAGGTTCCGACTCCGTTTCTCAACAACATATAACAACGCAACAATTCACCATCACACAATTCAACTAGACACACACTAACATGACATTAACATACAATTATCATACAATTGCATAATTAATCACAACTAGTAGAAATTCAATCAAGGAGAATTCGAAACACCCGCCCACATATTGTCATGCAAAACCTTATATGAAAGAAAAACTCACCCTTACCTGGTTATTCCTAGCAATTGCACCTCAACAATGGTGTGTTTTTCCTCTTCTTCCTCAAACTTCAGCTCTCTCTTCTCTTTCTCCTCCCTTCTCCCAAGTTTTTCACGTTTTGACCGTTTTTCCATTACTCCCCTTATTTATTTTTCTAATATATTATTATTCTCTAATTTAATTCTTATTCGAATAAAATAAATATTAATCCACTAAATATTTATTTTATATAACACCATAACAATAATAATAATATTTAAAATAAATATCTAATCATTATTATTACTATTATTTTGTTTATATAATCCCAATTTAAATAATAATAATAATAATAATAATAACACTTTCCCACCACCCCCAAATCTCTACAATTTTGCCCAACATTTCTAAGGTCATTGTCTTTCACATATGGGTCCCTCTAACATCACCAAAGCATCACAAGCACACACATAATCATATAATTATTTACGAAAATTAATTAAAATAAACCGGGGCATTACAATTTTCCCTCACTTAAAACATTTTCGTCCTCGAAAATTTACCTGGTGCAAATAACTCCAGATACAACTCTCGCATCCCACTCTCCAACTCCCACGTCATATTCCCTCCAGCAGCACCTCCCCACACTACTTTCACGAGAGCAATCTATTTTCCCATCAACTTCTTCAATTCACGGTCTTTAATTCTCACAGGTAAAACTTCAACTGTAAGATTATCCCTCACTCACACATCATTCATCGGAATCACATGAGACAGATTTAGAACATACTTCTAAAGTTGTGAGACATAGAATACATCATGCAAGTTTGAGATATTAGGTGGCAACGCCATCCTATAAGTAACCACTTTA